TATATTTGTAGAGATACTAAAACCATTCGTATTTTCGTGCGAAACCAAAGATATGCGGATAAGGTGTTTTGCGTCAGTATAAAAGTTTTGCATTATTATTTCTATATATATATTTGGTGGTATAGCATACCGCTTTTGTTTTTCTTGCCAGTATTCATATCGGCGTATACCGCCCTCTTTTTAATCACTGCTAAACATACAGTGAGAAGTGAGCGGTTTTGAATAATCCTATATACTATGTACGGTTTCAGAAGATAATATACTATTGTATTAGTGTTTGATTTATATAAAACATTATTCAGAAATATTAATAGGATGAAAAGACTAGTAGCAAACTTCATACAATTTTGAGGCTTTTTTGTTTATTACTAACAACAGTTAAGTTCTGTTTTATTTATCCACAAACTAGGAATGTTGGAGAGATAAACATAGTTGTTCTCCATCTTAGCACACAAAAAATCTTACAAAATATCTAAAATTCGATGGTGTTAGTAACAACCGTTTTTACAGATCCCCGACAAGTCGATTAAACAAAGAATGGGAAGTCAGGTTTAGGTGTTTCAAGCCACATATTAATCAGATCTGAGCACTTAGAACAATATATTTCAGTTAATTATTTAGATCTAGATATTCAGAACAACATTTTTGATATTGTTTAAATCTAAAAATCAGAGCAATATATTTCTTCACATTAATTAAAGATGCAATTAGAGCAATGCCTTTCTGTGTTATCATATTGATCTCGCTAATCAGAATAACTCAACATCTTTTTGTAAATTATTTACGTCTAGAATTTCAGACAAACATTTTTGTACAGATTAATCAGATATGGATATTTATTTTTTAAATTATTACTGTTTTATTTTTTAAATGAAAAGAAGAAATAGTGATACTTCGTTCTTGGTCTTGTAATATTCAAAATATGTTTCTAAACTCGTAATTATTTTATTCACACTTCTTTTACATTTTATTCTTAAAACTATTTAACTAATTCATTTTGAACATGAAATCTCGTATTTTGACAGCATTTTCAAAATCCTTATTACTTAAATTTAGACTTTACTAATCCTTAGATTCAGTTTTTCGATTTTCCATTAGAGTATCCATTAATTTAGACATGACGTATACGTTGATACTGCTGTATCTCCAGTGTAAAAAAAAAATCATGATGACGAGGAACCCACTTGAAGTAAATGTATATACCTGTATAGTAGAACGGCTGATACGGGTATTAAAAACTTTGATTTAAAACAAAAAAATAGTGCCCACATGTTGAAATAACATAACTATGTATAAAGGAATAAGTCTGATGCTTTTTAAGCATTTGGTTTACTTGGTTATATGTATTCTGATAAATTTCATTGGTCCAGTGGATTGAACTAACTGGCTCTAATTGTACAATGGTGATGATCTGCGGAAATATGTCTTATAACAGATTTTGAACTAAGTTATTAGCTTGCCCATTTTAAGGAATTCACAAAACTCAACGGTTTGAATATGAGAGGAACTAAAAGGCCTTATTGTTTAACTAGCTAGCAAAGTTACAAAAAAATGAATAATTGGTATTCGAATTCTTATCGTTAATAAGTTTGAACTTCTATGTGTAATAAATATAAAATTTGTCTAATAGTTTGATTAAATGTGAATTTTGTTTTCACAGATATTATAAATTTTCTAGTTCCAAGTATCGGCTATAAATAATTTCATTATTTCTCTTTTCTAATCTCTGCCCAGAACAATGAAATATTTTATGAGATACCAGGAATGTATTGGAGTACCTGAAGGTTTTACTTTCATTACCATTACATAATTTGTTGTAGCAGAGATTTCGTAGAACGAACGTGGTGTAAGCTATTACGTTGTTTTCATAGAGTAGAGTCATTAACTGATATTGGTACATCTTATCCTCGATTAGATTTGTAGTGTCCTCTACCAGTTGCCAAAACTACTAATATAGATAATCAAATATCATCAATGCAGACATGAATTACATTTCTGTATTACCATAAAGCACAGAATACACACTTTCAAATTATGAAGATTTTCTATTTTTGTTTTTATTGTGTATACAACGTAGAAAAAACACGGTGTCGCTGAAGATACAAGCCTTTTTTTTATCATCTCACACCAGCAAACTCAGTTGGTGTTCGCATGAGTTTTCTGAAGCTCTAAGCTCTCAACTATGAAATAAACTCAGTTTATTTTGCTTTCCCTGAAAGATTACGATGATAACTTTCCTTAAAGTATCTACACAATTATGAAGACTTTTTGTGTATAACTCGAGTGTGTTGACAAAATAACAAGTTCGTTTTAATAAAAATGTAAGTAAATAATGTTAAGAAGTTATTTTAAATTGTTAGCTATTTTTGTTATGAAAATAATATATATAGGATGTTCGAGTTGTTGTTGTTTAAAAATTCTTAAAAGTTAACATAAAATAATCAGTATCATAATTTCATTATATCTATTTTTTTAATGCCTACAAGGAAAAGGCATAATTAGAAAAACTGATAAAAGCATATTAGGAGAGAGGTACACAATAGGCTATCTGTGCTTTGGCCATCGCAAACATCAAAACCCGATTTTTTGCATTATAAGTCCTCACATCAAGAGTGACATGCACAATAGGGTTCTAGTGGTGTTTGTTTTTGTTTAGAAAGTGTTAATTGTAGCCAATTTGTTTTATAAAAAAGTACGTACCCATTTATAGGTTAAATGATTTAAGCTAAACAAAAGAACAATATATAGTGACTTACCGTAAGGTTGTGACAACCAGATATGAATCTTTGACCCGTCGTCATGATTAACTGCCTACATGATCACCTAAGTCTAATTATTAATTAGTTATTAACATATTTTAATTATTAAAACTCATTATTTACTAGGATCAAAACTATAGTTAATATGTAGCATCTGGTTATAAAAAGTAATATCGTCGTAAACGTAACAATTAAAACTTTTCAATAAGATGCTATAATACAATATTACAGTGTATGTTTACTATCGTAATAATTCACATTAAAAACATTCCAATAAGATGTTATAGTACAATATTACGGTGTATGTTTACTATCGGGGTAAATGTATCAATTAACAAACTTTTCAATAAGACGTTATAAAATACAATATTGCTGTGTTTGTTATTGTGGTAAATGTAGTAATTAATTAGCATTGAATCATCATTAAGTTGTTGTAGAAAATATTACAGTGTTTCATTATGATCGTGGTAAATGAAGTAATTAATATCAAAACTCACAAATTAGAAGTTACGTAATAATGTTACAGTTTGGTGTGTGTGTGAACTATAAATAAAATTAATCATATAGTTTCAAAAATATCATGTTACATGAAATTATTTCAGTGCATCTTTATTACCTCTATAAAAAAGGGTTAATAATTTAAGTCTTAAAAATTATTTTTGTAGTGATTCAAAGACATATTTCTAAAAAATTAATAAGTAATGCAGTTACAGTTTTTTTTTTTTTCACTGACATTACTGTCCCTATTCAGGTCGTCAGTCAGAAAAGAAATATGTATCTGTGCATATACTGGGAGATGACGTAGGTCTTAATGATAGTGTATGGACAAGAAGCGTGTTTCCATTAAAAGTTAAGGGCACGTCCAATACTTCGTCATGAAGCAGCATAAGACTGAAGAATGTCCCCAGTAAAATACTGAAATACTGTACGAAGACATAGAAATTTCTTCAAAGTGGCTTTGAATCTACATGATCGTAAAATATCCTCAGGAAGCTAAAACACGTGACATATGTCCGCATAAAGATAAGGTACATACATTGTATCTTTTGAATTATGTCCCCACACAAATTGTCAGAACTTCAAAGAGTTTATCATTTATGAAGTTACCAAAAATGTTCTTAAGAAGTTACATGTGCGTTAAATGTGTCCATTGAAGTTAAGCACACGTGAAATACACCCACAGTGAAGCTATGGAAATATAAAAATATCCCCACGTTAAATATATCGCTATGAAGTTAAAGGAAATTAAATATGTTCCGAAGAAGCCACGGGTACATGTTATATCGATGTTTTTAAACTCAGTGTAAATAAATTACCGTGATATAATTAGCCTTTAACAAAACAGACATGTGAACTAATTACAGTTACATAATCAGACTTAAACAATAAACACAAACATGGTGTGAATTATTACAGTGACATAACCAGTCAGGAAACAATTCTTTATATTGAGAAATCAGTGTGAGTAAAAACCGACATTGAACAATGTACTTAATACAAAATGAATGACAGTAAAATACACTAACGTAAGTAACTTTCAATAAATTATTAATACAACCAAGATATGAATTTATTAAAAAACAATTGAACTTAAAGTATTTATAATAAACTAGAAAGTCGCTTTTAGAAAATTTTTAACAGAGTTTTCAACTGAAATGGCTTTGCGCTTAGAACTCTGGATTCAAATTATTTCAAATATGTGCATCAGATTAGATGTCTGTATTTGAAAGACATTAATATTTCTGTAAACAGGATAAGGTGACATATATATAAGTTTGAACGGTTTATGAACTTAAAAAGGTTTACAATTTAAGTTTTCTAAATTTTTGATCTTAAACCTTTCTTTAACTGATATTGTTTGTAAAAGTGAAATAGTTATATTTAAATATATTTTTTCTAGTAGTTTTTTTGAAAATTCTATATTATCTTAGCCTCTGGAGTCCCATTCTTTTATATTGCTGTTATAAAAAATTCTTACTTTAGCTTTGTTGAGGGTCAGAATTTCTACTTTTACATTTTCTTATCATACTTTGCATAAAAATACAAATGCTCTTGAGAAACTTGTCGTATCGATTAATATCAATAATGATCGTACCCACTCGTTGGAAGAGAGAGATTCTATCCATATCTAATAATTTATCACTTGCATATGGTCGCCGGCTGAGTTTGTACTTTCAGAGCCTCACTATGATCCACGTCTTCCTTTTCTTTCATTGCGACTCGGAGCTATCTTGCGTGCTCTCGTAGGTTAAACCGCTTGAGTTTTACCGGCGATAACTTAGTTTCTAGCTGCACGCGATGCTGCTCGTTGCCGTTGGATTTGTCTTGCTTTTGCTTATAGTTTTTCTGATTGTAATTATCATAATGCAGAATTCGATTCTTGAAGTCGTAATGACTGTCAAAACGGAATTTTCTCAACGATAAGACACTTTATCTAATCTTAGCGATCTGGCTGCTGACACTGTTATGTTATACCAAATTATGAGTGTTAAACCAGGTGCTTCTCAGCGGTAAGGCAGTTTAACTATCCTTATAATATTTTAGGACATATATATACAACAGTACGCTATATAAGCAAGGATATAGGAATAGAAAATTCCAAAGTGTATCTGGTATTATTTTCAAAGGAAGTTTAGTTATAATTAGTATTATATTTCTTCTTGGTTAGCCTGCAGAAACAACATATCCAGACTTAAGATGCATCTGGTATTATTAAAGGACATTCACTTCTAGCTCATGTTATGTCTAATCTGTTCAATTTACAAAAGAAACACTCTGAGTTCTGAAGGTGTACCTGGTGTTATTTAATAACATTCAATTGTAACTCGCATTATGTCTAATTTCGTTTAGCGTGCAGGAGCAACACATTCAGTTTGGAAGGTGTATCTGGTGTTATTTAAGCATATGAATGTTGATACAGTTGTTAAGGGACGTTTCTAGATGATGGTAACCGAAAGCTGTAGAATTAAAAGCACTATAATGTGATATAAAGAAGGTTGTTTAAGTATGTCTTCTTTATATCTACTAACATAAACTACTTGTACTCCGCTGAGTGATTCAGAGGCCTCCTTGTGGTTTACAGAGGCCCCAAGGTGATGTTGAAGTTCCTCCATTATTCTCAGTTACTTTCATAGATACTCCAAGAGGGAGTCATAGAAACAAACAAACCTCATTAGGACAAGAACACATGTACCACGTTTCACCACGCTCGCTTTAAGTGAGGGTATGAAGACACCCTCGGAATTCCGAGAAGGGACCAGAAACACCACATATTCAGCTACCCTGAAAACCTACACCTAGACCCTCATTATGCTAGGATTACTTTCTGGGTGCGTTTTTGCCCCTTGGTTTCCTCTACGTTGAGAGGATGCGCCATTTAGATAAGAACACTTTCCCCCGGGTTATCTCGAGTCCACCTTCCAAGTTTGGTCCTTCTAGCTACAAAAATGTTCGAGGAATTCGCGGATAAACAAATAAACACACAGTGTGAATTAATTTATATGTATAATTTTATACGTTAACAAGTCTAGGTGGTTAGGGCGCTCGACTCGCAATCTTCGGGTCGCGGGTTCGAATCCTAGTCACATCAAACATGCTCGCCCTTTCAGCCGTGA